AAAAATTGATTTACTGGAGATACATAAATACATATATATGCGGGTGAACTGCTAAATGGACTCAGGGCATATGACAGCAAAGGCTGTGGGTGAAAAATGGTTTGAGTATGGTCCTGTTTGTTATATAGGTTGAAGACCACAAAAAAGGTTAAACAAGAATCTGCATCAGAGAATATTCACACAAATATAAGGGATTATAAAATCCCTAAGTGAAAAATTACTTCCTTACATTCTTCCTAATAGAATTCCAAGACATTCCAATGGGACCCACTGTCAATGTTTTGCCTTCTGCTATTTTATCCCATATGCTCATTAATCCCTTCTTAGGGCAAGTTCTCTCTTCAAATTGTTTCTCAACAGACAGCTGGATGACTAGCTGAAACTGTTCAAGTCCTGGCCCTATGTTTGAATGGCAAATCTCAACAATTGTCTAGATGAAGAAAAGTAGCAAAGAGCTCCCTCACTAAGATGCCGCAGAGTAAGAGCTACACAATCTCAGGGAATAATCCTAGACCTAGGATCGTTAGATTATTTTCATGATTATTAGAAGATAATATTAGCACATAACATGGAAACTGGGTGAAAGCTTGCAAACTTAAAAAAAAAATAAGGTCGTATGTTGTAATTTGACTCGAGAGTTTTTACATATTTAAGTTTCTGTATCTCATACCTCTCCTTAAACATTCCCTCTATTCTATTGAATTAAGTACTCTGAACCCTAGAAACAAAATCAAACAAAAGTTAAAGGTTAATTTACAGGCTAGACTAAACAAAAAAAAGTGATAAAAGTGGTACTTAGTGCTCTATCTCCTTGGTCCCCATTTATGGACCCAGAATTCACCATTTTTACAGTATGGGCCTTTAGGATAAATTTGGCTGCTAAGTAACATTTTTTGTTTGTTTTTTAACCTTTCTTAACCCAAATTTGGCTGGGTACCATTTTCAGTTGCATTAACTCTTGCTTTATGGAACCAGAGGCAAAATTAGAATTTCTGTTGCTATGCAATTTATCATGGGTACATAATCCCTATTTAAAAAAGAATGAAAGAAAGAAGGTCAGATTTTGCTATCGGGCAAGTTATAATAAAAAAGTGGAAAATGGCACCCACAGTTCTGGCATAGAACTTTTTCAGGGCACTAACATCTGTAGCTATCAAGTGAATCATGCATCAACTATTAACATGTACTTTTTAGAACATTACTTTATGGTTTGGAAAAGATTCACATTCTTAAGGGGTTTTCCTATGAGCCTAAGGTTTTTTTTTTTTTCCCTTTAAAGAAATAGTTTTCTCTCAAGAGATCGAAAATGTTTTGTAAGAACCAAAAGAGTAGAATAAAATAAATAAAGTTTTTGGTGAATTTACTGACACAGCTGATGAAAACAGTCACTTCAGATGTAATTTAACTAGATAAAATTCAATTAATATGTAAAACTAAACAAGATTAAGACACTAGCATTTAGAGAGGTGTCAGAAAGATAACAATGTAGGAGAGTCACACATATTCCTTAGCCCTGAAAACAGAAAAGATGGAGGTAAATTCTGTTATCTCTGCTTATAATGGTATTATACTCCTGACTCCCTGATTAAGGCTGCCTTAATGAGTAAACACTTTTTACATTTTAATATCTACCCTACTCCAAAGAGCCTCAGAAACAAAGGTTGACTGGAGCTGAGAGAGATGTTGGGTAGTATTAGAGCTTCCCTACTCCCTGCAGATGCCAGTCCCTAAGAAAGCAAGGGACAGTCTGCAAATAATAGTACTTAATCATTCCTTATTGGCTTTTAAAATGTTGAGCGGCTGAATATGTCTTTGTGTATGTATAAGAACTGACAGGTCTTTTTTTAAATTACTTTTTTATTGTTATATTAATCACCATACATTACATCACTACTTTTTGATGTAGTGTTCCATGATTCATTGTTTGTGCATAACACCTAGTGCTCCATGCAGAACAAGCCCTCCCCAATACCCATCACCAGGCTAACCCATCCTCCCACCCCCCTCCCCTCTGGAACCCTCAGTTTGTTTTTCAGAGTCCATCATCTCTCATG